TCTCCGACTTGGGCGGAAACTACCCAAGCCTTTTGTACGGCTAGCAAGCCAATAGCTAGCCGCCACGTATGCCTACATTTAGAACCGGCCAATAATGTGGCACAAATCTAAATACAAAAGGCAGGAACTCCTTTGCATCGTGCATCACTATAATGCAAAAGGAATGCACTATGCAAAGAAAGCTACAGAACTGGCGGGAAAAACTCCTGCACGCGGGGTTTTAATTGCAACAGAACACTCCACCGTTCAAAAGAGCTGCAATTTGGCGGGAACATGATTTAGCGATGCCGAAGGACACACAAACAAGAAAAACCACAACTTTGGGTTGTGACACATAACACATTGGGGAACTCATCCTGGCCAAAATCCTTGTGTGTACTGTAACATAATAGAGCTCAAGTCATGGGTAATCAGGAGTAGAAGTAACAGTGTGTATGCAAGGTGAGCAACCTCTAGAATTATAAGATGAAAAAACAAGGAATGCATCATGTATCACATGTATTACTGAGCAGGATTATATTTCTTCAGAGCAAATTGCTTCAAAAACAAATGAGAACTCATGGTAGAGGTGATAGCTTTTATTAGACCAACTAGATTTTTAGAAAAAAAAAAAAATTGAAAGCCACCTTCTTCAGGCATAGGAGAAAAGATTGTAAAAGTTCTCTTACGTAGAAATGAAAGTTCATATTTCATAGGAGAGTTACAGGTATAGTAAAATCTGCTGTTTGGAGCAGTTCAGTTTATGCAGGTTAGGGTCAGAGAAAAGTTGGAATAGGCTGTTCATCTTGAAGTTGTTTGGTAGCAGGCAGGATGTAGAATCATATTTCCTTCTGGTTATGATGTTTCATACTTCACAGAAGAGTAAAAAAATGGAATGCTCTCCTGGGCAGGAATTTCTTATGTGGTGAGGTATCTCTGGGCTCTGTGATAATGCAAATTACCTTGAATAAAGGCAGGAGCAGGGTCTTGGGTTTCAGGTGGTAAAACTTGCTTCCTCCTTGTAAAATTATGAAATTTTCATTAAAAAAATTGCATAAAATTGATATTTTCCATGTGTCAGGTGTTTAGATTGTAGCTGTGTTGGTCTAGATGCCTTTTGCAAAAGGCCTCTAGACCAATATGGCTACAACCTGCATACCTTAAAAAACAAATTAACATCTGAGACCCTGCATATTCAGATGTCATCTATGAGATTCTCATGCACAACAGAACACTGAAGTATTCAAACTTCATTTACACCTGTAATAATAATACCAAGTCATTCTGAACTTCAAGTAATTTCCGATTTGCTGCTTTAACAGATCAGATTTTAGTCCTTTATTCCTTTTAATTTTGGGATGCTTTACTTACACAGCTGAGTGAACCATTAAAAGAGAATCTATTCAGTGAACCCAGAGTCAAAAATAACCAATTTGGCACAAGTCAGAGGAACATCTTAGAAAGCACTTTATGTGATAGCCAATTAGGTAAGAAAAGTATATGGTGGATGTCATAGAAGAATCTCAATACTAAGCATATTTATATATTTATTAGTATTTTTGGGGTCCCTTACTTCTAGGTAGTATCACTGCTCCTTTACAAATGCTCCTTGAATGTCATCCTTGAAACACAAATCTAGTGGAAGGATGAATGGAATTAGGAGCTAGTGTTGGGGAAAAGAGGCCTAGGACATGCTGGAGGGAAAAGAGTTGTAGGGGGTAGGTCAGAGGGATCAGTGACTGATGAAGCACAATTTTTTCCCTCAGAACTGAAGCCAAAATTTCTGTCTTGCCATTCCTCTGCTGTCAGCAAATCTGTGATATCCACTAGCAAAAATGGTCTCATCCTTTTCTAGTGCTAACCTATGTGAAGGATGACACCCTATGCCACTGTCCAGTATTGGTTACTCCTGTACCTAAAATGACAATGGTCTGTGTGATGAGCTTAAAGGCCTCTATCCTACAAAAAAAAAATATCAGTGGCAATATGATATCGTGTGAGGGAATTTCTGTGTTTTTGGAGCGGAGGGGCTTGTTTGCTTAAACTTTAGAATGTACATTTCCTTCCTCTACTCTCATTCCCCGATAAAAGCAGCGCACTTGCATTTGAACTACACTACTAAGGTTTTAGAGTCAAGCACTTAAAAGTTATGAAATGCCAGAATGCTTGGGCAACCTTTAATATCTGTTTCTTCTGTGTAAATTCATTATTATGCAGGTCCCCATCTCATCTATAGCCTGGACATGCTCTGGGAATGACTCAAGATTGTATAGAGGAGAAGGCTGTTACTTAGTAGAGAGGTCTCATTTGTTGAGAAAAATGAAGGTTACCTAGTGAGTGAAGCAGAGCCTGGCAGTAAGAGGAAGTATGGTTAAGGTAGCTGACTGTTGCCTTTGAGAACTGGATTCTATCCTTGCCTTTGCTATGGAAATCCTATGCGATACCTGGCAAGTTATTGACACTTGTAATTTTCAGCTAATTGAAACTGAAATGTGCAGCTATGTGATGCCTGGCAAGTCATTGAAACTGAAATTTGCAGCTCTAGTTAAATTTCTTTCATTTTTGGTACCTACATTGAGAAATCTTGGGTTTGATTTACAAGTGTACTTAGCAGTTGTTGCTGAATGAATGTCATTTGCACAGGTGTCATTGACTTATATGAAGTAATGGTAACTATTGTGTACCATTGAGGCATCTGAAATAGGATTTTTTTTTACTATAATCTCCCTGTATGTCAGTTCCCCGTCTGTAAAATTGGGATAATAGCCATAAACATTGCAGGGTGTTGTAGATAGGGACCTATGGAAATCACAAAATCCAACAATACCCCCAAAAGCTGTGAGGAAAAGAAAGAAAAACCCACTTCCTGAAAATAAAATGCTGGCTTCCCAGCATTGGCCAAGAGGGCTGTCTGTCGTGATCCCATCCCCCTTCTCCAATCAGTGGCAGGGGGCAGGGCCGCATGAAGGAAAGCTCTAAGAGCTTATCAGTGGTAAGAGGCGGGACCACTGGGGCCCCTTGGTCAATCAGAGGCATGGTGGGGGGCATGAATATGGAGGCAAGCCCTGCAATCTCCCTGTGAAATCGGCTGACCACCTCCTCAAGTTAGGCAGATCCCTAACGGGTAGAGGTTAACATAATAATTGTAAAAGCAGTCCTTACTCTGGTGTTCGATGCCATAAAAAGACCCCATGAGGATAAGACCATGGTAGGATTGATTCCATTTTCAGAGCAGCATTTCTTATCATGTTGTATACATAAGATACTGAATATGAAGGATGAGAAAAAATGAGCTGCTTATCAACTAATCACTAACAATCTTGGGCAGGGCTGCCCAACCTCCAAGTGGCTGTACCAGCGAAGGCCTTGTCCTGTGCAGGCCATACCAGGGTGAACTATGGATTTCCACCCTGTGCACCTGCATGCAAACATCCCCTGTGTTTGCTGCTCTGCTGTGCATGGGCTGCTCCTCCCCCCCGCCTCCCCCCCACATTGCTATTGCATCATGCACAAGCTCCATCCTGCCCATTGCCACTATGTTGTGTGGGCGGTTCCCCCTCCCCGACCTCCCCCGAACCACTTGCCCTCCACTCCCTACGCCATGCTCTTACTTCCTGGGGTGGGGCCGTGAAGCAGTAGCTGCAGGAGGGAGGGAGAGCCTGTGGCACCTGTCTGCTGTTGCAGCTCTAGCTATAGAGGAAGCAACAGCAAAGCAGAAGCCAGGAGGCAGCAACTTAATGCCCCCATTGGCTGCTAGTTGGACAGGCCTGTACTTGGGTAGTGGGTGTGGCAGGGATCTCCTGAAAAATAGCATGTGATCATCACGCGTCAAAATGTGTACATACAAAATGTTTGTATTGATGGCCTGACTCTGAGACTATAAAAACAAAACATGAAGAATATATTATAAAATGAGCGTAAAGAGGTTCAGTGTTTTAAAACTTTTCCTAGTTGGAGTGGAGGAAAGGACTATGAATTCAAATGCATTAAATATTATATAAATATATAAATATTATATAAATATATATATATATATATAAATACAACAATTAATATCCTTATTAAAAGATTTATAGTAACTGTTTGTTTAAGTCTCTCTCTTTAGAGTCTTTCAGGTGAGCTATTTAGTAATAGGATGCTGTTGCAAATTGCTAACATTAAAATGAGTGAAAAATGTCTCTTGTTTGTCCTTTCAAATTCTAACTTTTTAGGCATAGGAATCCATTGTGATCTATGGAAAGCCACTCTCTAAAATGGCTTGCTTTATCCCCAAAGGCCGTCCAGTTTCCTGGATGAAAGATTTCTATATAAATATATAGTGAGTTTTCTTACAGTGGTAAACATCAGTTGCTGCATCCAGCTATTTACATGGCACCTACTCCCCCTTTAGAGAAGTAACGTTGGCATGTAGGTCCTTATCACAATTTAACTCTAGTCTTCAAACAAGATTACAACATATGTGTGGTGACAAAAAAGGTTGCTAGCCAGCTAGTTTTCAGTTTACCTGTGGGGCTCTAGAGGTCATCAAACCTAAATAATACTGTCAGTTTGAATCAAAACCTTTGGCAGTAATCTAAAATTAAAGTAGGCCCGTTGCTAGTCTGCCTCTACCAGTGTGGTATGGTGTGTATGTGCGGGTTTAGTGTTTGTTCTCTTGAATAATAGCAAAAATATGTAAACTATTATAACAAAAAAAGAATAAATTTAACGTGTGGATGTTTGAGTTGGAGTAGTGGCAGTGGTGATGGAAGGGAATATTTGGGAGGTGGGAATGAATGGTAGGCAATTCAGATCAGGTTCAAGGGGGTTGAGTAGGAGGGGTAGAGCACTGGCTGTTCTTTCCTGCTGCTGTAAGAACACTGAATGCAAATGGAGTTATTGCAGGTAATTTGTCCCAAGTAATGTTTTGTGTATGGGATGTGTGCTTGCTTTTTAGGAATTCCCTGTTATTTGAAAACAAAAAGTATTTAAAAAAAATATTGTCTTACTATTGTCTAAATATTGTCTGAATCTGTTTTCAGACTAAAAGGTCAAAATTACATGAGCAGTTACTGAAGTCTGATCTTACCTGGAAGAAAATAGTGAAATTTGTAAATGACAATTTGGAGAAGAAAGACCACCAATCAGTAAATGGGGATTTGAAAACTATATTGCAGTCTGCAAAACAAATAGGTAAGTCTTAATTTATTAATAACTTAATAACAGCAGCAGCACCTATACATAATTACATGTTGATATATTTATTTTGTACTCTGGGTCTAATTCTGGTGTCCAGTATTCTGGACACTCATGTCAGTCTGAGTTGTACATGCACATATAAGTCAGTCTGGCCCAGTATCTCCTTTTAAATTCAACTTAGTTTTATACCTGTTATCATTGTTTCTGTTTAGCTTTGTGTGCTGTCATTTGTCACGCTTCAGTCAGCAAATAGTAACTGAAAGTACAGCTCTTTCTGGTGTATTGGTATACAAGCAACAAGTTAAGGGGTGCTGAGTTCAGTGTAGAAGCAGTTGTTGTATAATAAGGACAGATTTCCAAATAGCATTGTTATATTAAAATTAGGCCTGTAGGGGCAAAATATAGAGTTTAAATAAACAAAACAATTCCTTCTATAATTAAAAAACATGTTTTCTATAATTTTGAGAGTGTGTGCGCCTATGTATGTGTTGAAGAGTTAGGGGGATATAAAAAACATAAACACTTTTCCATTCTTTCACAATGAAACCACCTTGAAAATATTTTAATAATGAATGAAATTTGTGAAAACTTGATTTATAGTACGAACTCATTTTGTTGATTTTATTTATTTTTGGTTGAAAATGTATCCAACAAGTACTGTATATAGAATTCAGCTCACTAGTTCCCAATTCATTGTTTCTTGTCAGCATAAGGCTCAAAGACAGGTTTTATTTAGAGGTCACTATTTATCATTATTGGTATAGCAGTTGCATAAATAAGGTTATTTCCCAAAGTTTGATGGCAGTTCAGTCTTTCCTGGTTAATGTTTCAGAAATCTCAAAAGGCAGCCCTATTGGTATATGTGACTAGATTGATTTACAAATATTTTTACTGCTTACAGTATAAAATTAACTTGAATAAACCAAATTTGGAAAACAAAGGGTTAACAAAAAGAAAATTTTAAAGCAAAATGGAAATAACGAACAGCATAAAATAGAACTTCCAGAATGACCTCCTCAGATTATTCATGATCAGAACTGTGGTCTTCTGTGTGGTAACAGATAGTGTATTCTTTGTGCTAGAAAGTTCAAGCATATCTAAGTTTATTGATTTTAATGTTGTGTCGTTTCACTGACTTGTCAAAGTAAAGTTTCTACACAATTATTCAAAATCAGCATTGATAAATACAACTTTAATTCCTTTTGAAGCTATTTGAATACTCTAAGATTTAATTTTTTGAGATTCACCATTTCAGTGTCACAAGCTAGCTATTCTGTTGTTTCCTAAATCCACTCCTTGGGTTTAGTCCCTTTTATATGCTCAGATTACTTACCAAGATTAACTACACCATTTTTTGTTTAGACAGGAAGGGGTTCTCTTTAACCTTCAAAGTCTGTGGATTTTTGCACATGATATTTTCCTTTAGAGAAGAATTAGTTGGGTGTTGCTTTGCATTGAACAAATTAAAGGAAAGAGAAGAAAATCTTCACTGAGAACTTGTAGAATGGTGTTCAAAATGCTCAGCAAAAAGGAAATATTTCAGTGAACAACTGTATATTTTGTTCTGATGGAAAAAAACTAAGACTGAAATAGTGATTTGAAAGAGGTTTAGAAATATTTTAAAGTGAGAGGGAACTTTAATTAGGAAGATGGTGATGTTCTGTTCTTGCAATAGAAAAAACAATTTAAGAGCCTTCCGGTGTTTTGTTT